ACAAAGGACGAGAAATAATTTTCGGTTGATCCCCGTCGAAATCTTGACGGCTTTTTTAATCACAGAAAACAATCACTCACTTATCTTGTCATTGCGTTACATTACGTCATGGAAACTAATTATGCAAATTATTGTTTAACTTTATATGTCGGTAAATAATATGGTGCTAAAGGCTGAATGAGGCCATTACAGATGGCCTTCCCATTGTTATAAGAGGAGTGTATGATTAAACGTTAAAGTAACATTTTCAATTCAGTGTTTTGATTACATATTTGTTTCTATAGAGGTGTTATTGACGATGGGCTAGAGACTTACCATATTGAGCCTCATTCGACATTTGAGGTATGTCAGAAGTATTCGGCCTTTGAGCAGCTCAAACACGAACATGGTTTAAAGAATCCTAAGCAACCACAATACAACGCGCTGGTCTTATTGTCGGGGTTTAAATACGTTTAAATGCGTCAAGCATACAATAGATTATAGATTGATAGTACCTGTGAGTTAATTAGTTAAAGAATCCCAACAAACCACAATGCAGCGCGCGCTCGTGTTATTGTTTACATACGTTTAAATGCGTTAAATACAATTGATTATAGATTTATGATACCTGTGAGGTACTTTAGTTAAAGGTATTTCTGTCCAAACTGAAGGAATGGAAAACGATTAGCGCTCACTTTAAGAAATTCTACGAATCCAGCATTTTCGTGTCCACCTAAAATGGTGATTCGGCTCGAAAGGCACATCGGTTGGTTGTAATTATTTAAGTTATGAATGTTTCTTGTGTAGGACACTGGTGCGCACAAGATTCAATTGGCAAGCAAGGTGAAGCGTGAAAACATGCAGTGTGGTAAGGGTTGTTTATGTTCACCAGCTCGTTACAGCAGAAACCGTTGCATCGCGACTTTAATGTTCAAAGGAAATCGTTAGGATTTAGGTATTTCTGCATCTTAGGGGCAGAGCTTGCTGTAAATCAGCCAATGACTGAACGAGTTTACAAAAAGCTCCGCTTCTTAGGTCGAAGAAAAAACAACGGCAACAAATTCGAAACGAAGAATTCGCGATGCAACGATTTTCGCTGTAAAATAATTTGTTAACATTATCTTAAAGGGCTACTTGGACGAAAATTGTGAAACATTAGAAAAGACTTGGAAATCAAATAGACCTATCCATATGGGTTTAATATATCATGAAGCAACAGATTTCAAGAGAATATTGATGCAAATCCTTAATAATTTCGGCAACAAATGTTGGAGTAGATGACGTCATTTACTCAATCCTTTTGTTCTTCCATCTTTTGAATCAAAATTTCTCTGATGTGGGATAATTCCAAGACAAATATTTTCCCGCAATTGTTTTTAATAGATATAAATGAGTCATATATTTGTATTGCTTGAAGTTTTGAAATAAGACCATTTTCATGCAAGTAGCACTTTAAAGCAATGCGAAAGATAGTCTTAGATAGTCTCTTAGATTTGAATTGTATGGGAAAATAACCATAAGAATTTCTATTTTAATAAAGAACACTTCCCTTACCATTTTGAATTATAGCGCATCATATTTCTTTTCCTTTTTAAGTTTGAACGATTTTCATGGAGGAAAAGGGGGCTATCCAGATATACTGCCATTTGAGTGAATAGCTATATTTCAAAAAAACGA